CTTAATTCATGGAAAAAAAGTAGTAAAAACAACTGGACCTCCACAGGCTGATGACGCTAACGAATTTGGCAGAGTCCAAAATTAGTTACATTACAAACCTCAGCCCAATCAATCACCATAGTCAACAACCACCAAACTCACAAATTCGTCACTTGGATAAATACAACTACTTAAAAACACAATCCTTTTCCTAACCTTCACCCATATAAAAAAAAGAAAATTACTAAAAAAATCACAAAATAATTCTGCAATTTAACTTGCATCGACACATGTCGACCCACGTGTCCCGAACCAACACTAGAATTTCCAAATGCAGACATTATAAATCACCACTAATTCCATTTTGCAAAATTGTTAATTTGCAAATAATAACAAGAAGAAGAAAAACGAAAAATGTTGAGAATTATAGCTTCCTTCTTTTTATCCTCTCTGTACGTTCAAATCTCATCCCCGGCTTTCTTAGCACCTGTTGTAAAAGACCTGTCCACTCAGAAGCACATTATGTCAGTTTACCTAAATACCCCTCCCCAGCCCACCAATTTACTCCTCGACCTCGGCGCCTCCGCCACTCTCCTCAAATGCCGGGCCCGCAAAACCAACCCAATCGCGGGTCAACCCACGACCCGATCCCTCTCCATGCCCGTGACCGACGGGTCCAACCCGGGCCCACTCAAGCCCATACCCGATTTCGCTTTCTCATGCGGCTACCGTTCCTCACTCAAGGGCCCAATGGGCCTAGCCGGTTTGGGCCGGTCCAACCTGTCCATACCGGCTCAGGTCAGCACGAAAATCAGACAGTACTGTCAGGTTTTCGCGCTGTGCCTGTCCGGTTCGCCCTCGGCTCCCGGTGTGGCTTTTTTCGGCTCGGCCGGCCCGTACAATTTTCTTCCCGGAAAAGTCGACCTTTCGAAACACCTCAACTACACGCCCCTTGTCTCGGTCCGTAATAATCCCGAGTATTTTATAATTCTTAAGTCCGTTTTGGTCAACGGGAAGGCGGTCAAAGTTGACCACCACCGGGAACACTCGCCCGAGTTGGTAGCCATGTTGAGCACGGTAACCCCCTACACCGTGCTGCGGACGAACATCTTCGAGGCCGTGGTGCGGGCGTTCGCGGAGGAATGTTCCTCTGCGCTCAACCTCACGGCAGTGGCACGGGCCGTGGGACCGTTCGGGTTGTGCTACGAGGCAGATGAGGTGGCGGTGGGGCGGGCGGGGCCCGAGGTCCCGACCGTGGATTTAGTCGTGGGGGGTGAGGATTCGGTGTGGAGGATGTTTGGGTCGAACTCGATGGTGAGGGTGTACGGTGGGGAGGCCGGCGAGGACGATGTGTGGTGCATGGGGTTCGTGGATGGTGGGGCGCGATTGGGTGGGGGTGCGGCGGATGTGGTGATAGGGGCCCACCAGATGGAGGATAGCTTGGTGGAGGTCGATTTGGAGGGCGGGAGGCTGGGGTTTAGCTCGTCTGTGATGGTGCAGGGGACCATGTGTGCTAATTTCAACTTCACAACCAATGGTAGTTTGGTATAGGGAAGATATATAACTGTAATGTGTAGTGTGGTGGTTTCGATGTGTGTAATGTTTATCAGATCATGTGTTGGAAGACGTGAGTGAATCAGAATCATTGATTTTGATAATATTGAAAAAAAAAAGGTAAAAATTTCACATTAAGCTGAAGATACTTAGCCATAAAGATCGTATGAAGTAAAAAATAAAAAAATAAAAAAAACTTTCAAAACGTGTTGGCCAAAAGAAACAACAATGACTTTACGTATTGATATCGTTAACACAAAAATGATTAATTTCTTAAACTTTTATATTTCCATAACCAGAAATAATTAATAAAATTATAGCTTCATCTTCCTTCATGCGTGAACAAAAATGTCTACTAAAATTTCCTTTTCTCGGTATTCCCTTACCAATAACTAAAGCTGCCCCAAAAGATAAACTTATGCCAGGCTGCCAGCAAATCAAGATATGATTATCACATGTCATTAGCTAAAAAAGGACCTTTCCTTGGCTTTAATCTAGAGATAAAATCATTCATAAGTACCCCAAAATCCAAGGTAAAAGAAAATGGATGTTCCAATCCTGACCATGTGTCAGTCCTCAACAAGAAAATCTAGCAACAGGACAACCTAGTGAAGCCCACCCTTAATCCACTATTTCACACCTTCATTTATTAGAGTACAACAAAAACAAACACAGCTTCAAGTCCCCAAGCATAAAAAAAAAACAAAGAATAACTCAAAGATAAACCACACATACATATCCCTTAATATACAAAATGATGTATGTTGACCACCATCAGGAGTACTCGCGCAGTTGGGTGGCCATGCTGAGCACGGTAATCCCCTACACCGTGCTACGGACGAACATCTTCGAGGTCGTGGTGCAGGCGTTCGCAGAGGGACGTTCCTCCGCGCTCAACCTCATGGCAGTGGCACGGGCCGTTCGGGTTGTGCTACGAGGCAAATGAGATGGCGATGGGGCGGGCGGGGCCCGAGGTCCCGACCGTGGATTTAGTAGTAGGGGTGGGGATTCGGTGTGGAGAATGTATGGGTCGAACTCGATGGTGAGGGTGTACGGACGATGTGTGGTGCATGGGGTTCGAGGATGGTGGGGGTGCGGCAGATGTGGTGATAGGGGCCCACCAGATGGAGGATAGCTTGGTGGAGTTCGATATGGAGGGCGGGATGCTGGGGTTTAGCTCGTCTGTGATGGTGTAGGGAACCATGCGTGCTAATTTCAACTTCACAACCAATGGTAGTTTGGTATAGAGAAGCAAGGCCGTCTCTAGAAATTCGGAGACCCCAGACAAGTTTTTATTTTCAAATTTTTGAATTTGAACTCGCGTGGTACCTAGGCTTATTTGTAGAATCATAGAAGAAACAAACTATTAAACAAAACTATTAAATAAATAAATAAAAATAAAATAATTTTTCTTTGTTAGGGCCTCAAATTTCTTCACAAAATACTTACTTTGACAAACTCTTTCATTAATTAACCCCTTCATTTGTGTAACGGACCAATTTATATTTAGTTTGTATAAATAGGTCAAACCCAACAAAATACATAATATTAAAAAAAAAGTTGAGGTCCCAAACAAATAGAAGCCCTAAGCATGGGCCTAACTCGTCTCTCCCAAAGCCGCTCCTGTAGCGAAGATAATAGTGATATGGTGGTTTGAATGTGCGTAATGTTTGTGTGAATTTGACTACCTTAGTGTGTTTTATCAAATCATGTGTTGGAATACGTGAGTGTATCAGAATCATTTATTTTTATTTTGATAAAAAAAATTTACTTTGTCATAAAGATATGGGAAAGACTACAGTCTCGTTACGGAATTATCCGGTCTGTATTTTTAACCGTTAGATACACATGTAAATTAGTGTAAGATAGATAATCTACGGTTAAAAAACCGGACGGAATGATTCCGTAACATAACTGTAGTCTTTCTCGAAAGGTATATAATCATATGAAATTATAAAAAAAAAACTTCAAAACGTTTTAGCTACAAAAGAAACAATATTGACTTTAAATATTCATAACAGTAACACATAAATGATTGTTCTTTTTTAAAACAAATTATATTTCCATAGCCATATCATAATTAATAGAATTATAGTTTCATCTTCCTTCATGCTTGAACACAAATGGCTACTAAAATTTCTTTTTCTTGGTATTCCCTTACCATTAAGGTGCCCCTAAAAATATTTTTATGCCATCAAATCAAATTATGATTATATATACTTTAATCACATTTCATTAGCCAAACAAAAGACCTTTCCTTAGCTTGAATCCACAGTTAAAATCATTTATAAGAACCTCAAAATCCAAGGTAAAAGAAAATGGTTGTTCGAATCCTGACCATGTGTCAGTCCTCAAGAAAATCTAGCAACAGGACAACCTTCACAGCCCACCCTTTATTCACTAATTCACACCTTCATTTAGAGCACAACAAAAACAAACACAGCTTCAAGTCCCCAATCAAAGTAAAGAAAAAAAAAAGCAAATAATAGCTCACAAACAAACATGTTTTCGATCTTATTACCCCTCCGCGCCGTGTCCCCGGAAGCACACCCGGCCGCCGGAAAACCTCCTCCGGCTTCTAGGCCGTCCTCGCGTTCGGCGACTCGTCGGTCCACAACAACTACATAGCCACCCCATTTCGAGGCGACCACCCGCCCTACGGTTGAGACTTCACGGGCCGGGTCCCGACTGGCCGATTCTCCAACGGCAGGCTCGTCCCGGACATCCTCGCCTCCCTCAAAGAGACCGTTCCCCCTTTCCTCACCCCAAATCTCTCGGACTATGAAATCACGACAGGTCTTCGCATCGGCCGGGTCGGGGCTCGACGACCTCACGACCACTATTTCCGGGGTCATACCCGTTTCGAGACAGCCAGAGTATTTTCGAGAATACGCCGTTAGGCTTGAGGGCATTATCGGAAAGCGGGAGGCCTGGAAGGTTCTTGAAGGGGCTCTGGTCGTCATGAGTGTCGGGACAAACGATCTTATATTTAATTTCTACGACTTTCCGCCGAGGAGGGTTCAGTTCTCGGTGGACAAGAGCTGTATAGTCTCGGGTGCCGAAAAATGGTGGTGTCTGGCCTGCCGCCGATCGGGTGCTTGCTGATACAGATGACGGCCAAGTTCCCGATTCTGAGGGCGCGCAGCCACCTGGAGAATGCCGACGCGAGGTCATACAACGAGAAGCTTATGAAGCTGCTGCCACGTATGGAAAACGTGCTTCCGGGAAGCAAAATCCTCTATGTGGATGTTTATAATCCTCTCATGGACATAATCGACAACCCCCAAAAATACGGCAAATATCCATATAAGTTGTGTTTTGAAAGCATATAAGTTAACTTATAACTTATTTGATTAACTTATAAATTTCCTGTATTCAAATAAGCTTGATTTGGTAGGACGAGCTTTTTCAAAAAGCTCGAGCTTATCTCATAAGATTCCTTTGATAAATTCTCAAATAAGCTAATTTTACTGAACACGTTTATCAATTATCATATAAGCTAGTTTTTCAGCCATATGTTATGTATTATCAGCTATAAACTTGAAATTCGCTTAAAAGTTATAAGTTATAGCTTACCAGCTATGTTTACCAAACACAGCCATAATATCAATGTATAGCTGAGAGAGTGTGTTTTCTTATATGAATACTATAAAGAGTTGATATACCTTTGCAGGATTTTTGGAAACTAGAAGAGGGTGTGTGGTACCGGGTTGCTTGAAGTCGGACCCCTTTGCACCCGACTAACTCCGGTTTGTGCAGAAGCTTCACGATATGTGTTTTGGGATAGCATTCATCCAGGTGAATCAACCTACACGCTTCTTTCCAAGAAACTAACCGGTTTACTTTCCGACTTGAACGCCGATTGAGCTTTTTGGTTGAAGAGAGGAAGAAAAAGAATACTCACTATCAGCTAGAGGTGCATATTTTCACTAGGGTACGTTATTCACAATGTAAGTACACACCTATAAGTTAAAATGTAAGTTCGATTTCGAAGTTGAAAACACAAAACTTGCTGGCTATGCAAGTTTGTCTTGAAAAGAAGAACATTTCCGGTAAATTCCACAAATGAATCACCTAACATTCACCATAGACAACATGGAAATCTACATTTATCCTACATGCCCAAAGTCAAACCACCAAAGCCGATTAAAAATTTGGCTGTGAAGAAATGAGACATTTCTACAAGACAAACCCATCATAGCTTTCGAGAAGAAGGCACGACTTATTGCAATGAGTCTATTAGATTCATATGTGCAATAACTTTACCGGGGAAAAGAAACCCAGCTTGGTTTTATAGTACATTTGCCCGTTAACATGGCTAAATTCATCACCAGAACCCTTCTTTTGCCATTTTCAGAAATTTGCATAGAGTGATGCTGGGGATATCATCACATGCTGACTGTTTCTTCTTTATCCTTGTCACCTTAAAAGATTCGTAGCCTTCTGATTGGTCGGCTGTGGCCGACACAAGATTGTAAAACTGCAAAAAACGATATAATCATGTCAAAATCAAAACATCCGAAAAGTTCCATGCCCATACCCTGAAGAGTAATTGCCTAGCAAATAAGCTTTTCAAAACATTTCATGGTATCTTGATACACACTCTGAAATGCTATGTGATTGATTATTCTTTATTTTCCTTTTTCTTACATCAACACACTTAGGCTTGTATAGAATAATATACCTCACAAACACCATGTAGAATCAAACGGTGGAAAGGATCTTGAACATGCAGCACCAGCACATCTCTGCGCCCACCATCCTCAACAAACGAGCGCACACATTCCTGATGAAACTATTTCCATCAGTTGTGAAAATTCTAGAACAGAAAAATTCAGAAAAGCGAAAATAAGTAAATGATAACAATTCGAACTAAAGGCCCAACTGCTATAATTTAGTGGAGAAACCTTACAAAAATTGTGCTGGATGTAAATATGTCTCGAAAATTGGTCATAAATTTGAACGGAACATTAGGAACAGTTAGAGAACCAAAAAAAAAACATTATATTTCACAAAAGGATATTTCAACCACCTCATATCCATTCAGCAAGTCTGAAAGATAACAACGGCGAAGTGCTTCTCTGGTTCGACCATCTACGCGGTGCCAAGCTTTCAGCACTGCGAGTTTTTCAGAATCCACATGGCCTTTCCTCTTTGAAGATGAGCTGTCAAGGGACTCCATGATAGAGGCCTACAGAAAGACGTGAAATTATCAATGTTAGGATTATGTTGAGGTTATAAATTAAAGTACTGAAAGCAAAATGATGTGTCCTAAATCACAAAAAAATTACAAATTCACAGAATACACAAAAAACCCGGTTCCAGATACAGGAGAAAATAGTTTTGGTGCATAGAAAGGTGAAAGCATTGAGAGGATAACCATAATCTTTCAACTTATATATAGATATAGATTAAAAACTAAAAATCAACTTTCAACAGCTTTCCCGGATCTTCCGCAAAATACACTGAATGCCGTATGAGGATAAAAGGAGATTTATTGTACCTCCTTATCCATGTCTATGTTTCTGAAACTATCCCACTCCCTCACATTTGTCTTGCTAAATGCTGAAGGAGGCACATCATCACCTACAAATTGAAGTAACTAACTTGTGACATATACACCAAAACAAGCACCCAAGATGCTTATAGGGTATTCAACTGCACCATTTGCTAAGTTGTGACAGCACTTCGTATAAATGGAATAAAGAAAAAGCTAACAAGTGTCTTTCATATTCATGTATTCAGTTATAAAAACGTATAAAAATCTTATTATATTTAGCATCTAAAACATACTCAAATAAAAATGGATATTGTAATTACTCAAGGACAAATTTTGGCAAACCAGGCAACGAAAATTGAAATGTTCTTACCCATTTCCTTTTTCATTTCTCTATGTTCTTCGGATAAAAAGAAAAAGAAAAAAGAAAAAAACCGCTTACCCCAAGGTGGTGGAGCAAACAGTCCCCTGATTTCATCAGCATTCAAGCGAGGAACAAGCTCCATCAACAACCGATCATTTAGCCATCGGCGGGACCTTCTGTTGCTAACCTGAACGGCAAAGTTCAGAACATTAGATTCAGCTCGCTATTTGCAAAATATAGCATTCAGATGCAGCTGGAGTAAAAGCATCAAATTTAGGTTGTCAATTTTTTATTTTTTATTTTTTTTTTATTTTTTTTTTTATTTTTTTATTTTTTTANAAAAAAGATTTTTTTTCGAGCCCAGACAAACAATAGAAAAATACAATTTTTATTTGTTTTGGAGATCAATACTCGGATTAAATCGGTAATTCAGATACATGACATATAGATCAAAATCGAACCTTTGGGATTGCCAAAAAGGGACGAATACATAAGAAGATCTTGCTCCGACCGCAAAATGTCAAAATTAGCCATGGTTGCTGGTGATTACTCTGCTAAAGATCTGATTTGATTTCAAGGGTTTGAGTTCTTGAAGGCTAGATTCACAGATATGGATGAATGAACGGCGACCAGATGAATTTGCTGTGGTGGATTTTAATTTTTAAGACGAAGACCAAACACGGCCTAATGCATATATTTGGATTTTGGTGAGAACAAGGAATATTCTTTGAGGTTTTAAAATTTAATCCTCATAATTCCATAACGAGAAATTGAAAATATTTTAAAAATATTTTTAATTTTTTTTTTCATTTTCAAAATATATGAAATATGGTAAATTATTGTGTTATACAAGACTACAGCTCATACACGTAATAAATTAATTAATGAATTAACATACGAAAATACTAAATATTGTTTCCATTTCTTGAAAAAGTATATATATTAGATGGCAGACACATCAATTGCATTATCCCCTTCCATGAGTCAAGACTGCTTTGAATTCGACTCGAGCTCGCATAAAGCTCGTTTCTTTAATGAGTTGAACTCGTCTTGGCTCGATAAGACTCGTTAAAGTTAAAAAAGATAATTTTATATAATTTTTTATAATTAAACTCGTTAAAGGTGGAGATCTATTTATTTACTCTCGAACTCGACTTGTTAATGTTGATAAACGAGCTCAACACAAGCTTTGTTTTTAGCTCGTTTACTTAATGAGCTTAGTCGGACTCGGCTCGTTAAGAGCTCGAGCACGATCACCCTGAACTCAAGCTCAACTCAACTTGTTACCTATCTATTCAGGACCCTCTCCTCCTTCACACGTTCCCATGAGTTAAACAAGGCCCAATAGACCCAAAAATTGTACTGCCCAAAGAAACTTCCAAAACTATTCAAATGATATGGCCCATATTCGGTATTAGTGTAGGTACATAGGTTGGGCTCGTATATTTGTTTGGTGGATACTTGGGATTGTTTATAGGCTAAAGTACACAAATGTAATTCCTTCTCCAACTAATTACAACAGTATGATTATTGAAACAAATTACACAAATACGACTAGTTAACCTTTTTCCCCTTAAATTGGTTATCTCTTTCTCTTTCTTCAATAAATATACTCTCTCTCATATGCTCTCGATATTTTCCATTCCCTGTTTCCCTCTCTTTTCATTTCCTTTCTTAAACTCAATCTCTCTATTCAACAAATTTTGTCCTGCGAAATGAACTACAAATAAAATATTTGTCAATATAAAAAATAATAAAAAAATATCAGAATAGAGAAATAATGTTCTAAAATAAAAAAAATACTTATATTTCTCAAATAAACTATCATTAATAAAATAAATAAACCTCAAATAAACTATCAATAAACTTTTGATTTATTAATTTAAATCTACTTACATTTTCTTTTTATAAATTTTGTATATTTTAAGTTTATCTTAAGTTTATTGCAACTCTTAAATATTTATTGAAAACTAATTTAAACTTTTGATTTATCTTAAGTTTATTATATATTTATTTACACTAAATCACAAAATTATAAATAATTAAATAATGTTCTAAAATAAAAAAATACTTATATTCCTCAAATAAACTCTCATTAATAAAATAAATAAACCTCAAATAAACTATCAATAAACTTTTTATTTATTAATTTAAATCTACTTACGTTTTCTTTTTATACACTTTGTGTTTATTTTAAGTTTATCTTAAGTTTATTGCAACTCTTAAATATTTATTGAAAACTAATTTAAACTTTTGATTTATCTTAAGTTTATTATATATTTATTTATACTAAATCACGAAATTATAAATAAATAAAAAATTAAATGCAAAAATAAACTTAATATAAACTACAAATAAGATTAAAAAAACAATTAATAAACATAATCAAATCATCGATAAAACATCAAATTAACTCTCAAAATCCTTCAAAAACACAAATATATACACCTTGTACTCACCCGAACTCAAGATTCGATCAAAAATTTCAATCATGGTAACAATTTTTAAGTCTTTCAAATACTAAAGGAAAATTGAGCATAAATAAAAACAAATCCCAGCAACTCATAGATCGAAAATCAATGAAATTTCTACAGCAAAAGAAAAAAAAAATTGCTAAACCCTAAATTACCAAACCACAAATTTAATCTCAAGGTTGTTACGTGTTGAGCATCAAGAAGGCGGGCGACACTGACAGAGGGAGGAAGGAGCCGGACATATATCTTGAATCGAAGGTGATGTTGGCGACGGTTAGGATAGCGCTAAGGATGCAAACGTCCCGCCGGTGGTGCGTGGCGAAGCAGGAGAAGCTCTTGTGACGTCGGATCCATTGACAATCTTCAACAAGTCGGACCTTATGGCGTGCGTTGTTGACGATGGGCGTGTTTCCGTTTCTTCGACTCTGCCAGAAACAAATGAGTTGGGGGAGAGGAATAATAGATGTAATTTTAATATTGATAAAGGTGGAATTAAAATATTAAAAAATTCGTAAATCTAACTTAAGGGGGTGTGATGTGCGATTGTTTTTTTTATCTCGTTAAATGGGCAATCTCGAAAGTTCCGCTCGTGCCATGGGTAATTAACTCTTGTTTATAATGTAAATTGCAGCACTAGGATAGCTCACACTTCTAATATTTAAATTGACCTCGAGCTTTTATCATGGTAAGAGAAAAATAATTGGGTTAAACCCACGTTCTCGAGTCTAACAAGTGTTATTCGCTCATCAACTAAACAAACTTCATATCAACTCGAGCTTTTTTGGTTTAGCAAAATTATTGAGCTGAATTTTACGAGTTCAATAAAGTTTTTTTTTGGTTTTCAATAAAGTCTAACTCACGAGCTACTCGTTACGTTTGTAATTTACAAATATCATAAAGCATAATAATTTTTTGCAAATTTTCGTTGTTAGGTTGTTTAATCCTCGTCGAGGCAATCTTCTTTTACTTTTTGAATAAAGCTATGTTTTATGATTCAAATATCATAAAATTTATTCATATTATATTTTAAAATATTAAAATATAGTCATAGTTATTGAGAACAGAAAAAAGTTAAATTGTCGAAAGTGTTCCTCTTGTTTGCCGAAAATCAAAATATTTTTGTTATTATTCCCTAAATTTTTGTTATTATTCGTTAAACTTTTGGACTAGTCCATTTCTTAAGAAACCAATAAAATAAATAATGATTTCCAAAGATAATCATCACAATATTTATTTTCCACAAAATATCCTTTGTTTCCGAACACATCATTGGCAAATCTGAGGGTAATCTAGACCATTCAAGCACATAAACCAACAGTTGCGCTTATGTTAACTACTGTTCACTCCCTGCAATGCAGTGCTTTTCGTACGCCTGCCAACATAGCAGCTCCAACGTACTGTGCACGTAAAAAAGCCATTTTAGCCAGTAAACCCCTCACTCAGACCTTTTGCACTTCACTTTTCAGCTGCCTGCTCAAGCAAAAGCTCTGTGGAGTAAAAATCTGTAAGAATTTCTCTCTCCTTTTCGTTTTTTTTTTTCTGCAATCGTTGCTGCTCGATCTTCCCTGCGTTTGATTTTCCTCTTATATCTAAGCGCACGCGTTCGGTCTGTATTTAGCATGTGTTTGTTGAGGAGATTTTTGGGAGTTTTCACTGTGTTGCTAGCTACGTTTGTTCGTGTTTCTTCAGTGCTCGTTCGTGTGTGTTTTGGTGAAAGCATATGTTGCTGTTGTTGTGTTGTTACTCCGAAAGTTGGTAAGATGCTGGAATCTCGAATTTACTTGGTATATCCACTTGATCTTTCCCGAAAAAGGGGGGAAAAAGAAGGATCACGATTCACATGTTTTTTTCTTGTTGCCTTCCGTCAGTATTTAGCAGGTGTTAGTTGATGACATTTTTGGGAATTTCACTGTGTTGCTAGGTGTGCTTGTTAGTGTTTTTTCAGTACGTGTTTGTGTGTGTTTTTGGTGAAAGTTGATTAAATTTTGGATTCTCGAATTTACATGCTATTCCACTTGATTTTGTCTGAAAAAGGGGGAAAAACGAAATATCGCCTGTTTTTTTCTTGTTAGATTCTTCGAATAGGTATAGAGATGACTGTCCGACGGTTCTGGGGATAAAATCGAATGCAAAGAACAAAAATAAATGAGTGAAGTGTCAGACATTTGTCACTCGAATATGTATTGGATTTAGAATATATGTACTCACAGCATGATGTGGTTTCTCAGGCTACTTATGTGCGATTCAGAGTGTGAGTGAACAGGACTATTAGTTACTGTCATATATGTGTTGTTAATTTTTTTCATTTCATTTTTCTCAATGATGAACAATCCTCACTTCGGTTGTGGACATTAGTTAGAAAAACTAGTTAGAATTCATGTTTTGCTCTCGCGCCCTTGATGGAAACAAGTTGGTAATGGTACCTATTTGTGGCTTTGGTGGTTATTCCGGTTCGTAGACGGATGGTCTTGCAAAGTGAAAACTTGTTGTTAAACTTTCAGTTGGATAAGCTCTCTAGTCATTATTATTACATTTGACAAGTTATTTTCATGGCAGCTTCCTAGCATTTTCAAATGGAAGAACAAAATTATGAAAATGGTGTGCAGTTTCCACCACTGGCCACGAATTACATGGCAGAGGATGCCTATGGATTATGCGGCGATCATCATGCAAATCACTACTATGTGACTCCAGGGAGTAACAGGATGCATCATGAGCGTGCTGTAGGTACTGAATGGACTCCTTCCCAGCAAATGCCTAAAAACTATGTTGAGTTTCTTGCTGAGAGAGGGAACCCTGCAGACCAGAGACAAATGCCATACAATGTTTCCTCACAAATACCTGGTTTTGGACTGTCATCTCCTTCTCATTTGGTGAGTTGGCAGAGCCATCTTTACATGATGTTCTAGTGCTGATGAGGAATTTGTCCCTTTAGAATTTGAACTTAATGTTAGAAGATATGGTAATTTTCTTAAGCCATTCTTGTTACTCAGTGTGTCATATTCATAAGACACTAAGAATAAGTCTTACGTGGAATATATCTGTTTACTTTCCTTCTATAGCAGGAACATCCTGGGCTGCGTAATGTCGGAAACTTTGATGAAACATTCACAGGCTTGGAACCTCAATATGGTGTTCAGGTCAAGTCTTATCGCTTTCTCTATTCATAAAAGAAAATATTTTATATACTAAAAGGTGAAACATTCATTTGGCCGATATTTTTCCTTTTTGTAAAATCTCGTACATATTGTCCCTGCAGGAACAAAATTGGAATGAAAGTCACAGTCATGCTTTTCAAGCTTATTCGGGGTTGGGTACTGCTGCACTGGAAAGCGTCACTGAAGCTCGTCAGAGAAGATCAAGAGAGAGAGCCTGTGCAGCAGATCGTGTATGCATTTTTCCTTGCTATAAGTAATATAAACACATTAAAGGCCTCATATGCTTGATCTTAACTGATTGTTACTAAATATAATTGCCAAGTTCTATACAGTTAAGGTAATTACCCCCAAAGTTTTCACTCACCAATTTTCTGATTGCCATCTTCATTCTTTTAGTTACGTAGACTGAAAATATCACATTGGTTGGAAGCATTAAAGGAATTGATGCCTCAACCTGAAGGGGTAAGATACCCAATCTTTGAGAAACAACAAACTCTTTTGGCTCTTTCTTAGAGTTTCATAGTGAAGCTGACATGTTCTCAAGAGGCTGGACATCAAAAGTCAAAACACAGCTGTCAATGTAAATAACCAGTTAATGTTTGAGCAATTATTGGGATTTTGTGACAGTGATGAGATTCATTTTAGTTTTTCCTTTGTCATATATTCTCAATTACACCTATTTACTTTCACAATGTGTCGTGGGAAGAGTTGTACACCTGCTGGTGTAAGTTACTGTGTATGGTGAATGGAAACATTGTTCTGTTTCATGGTAACCAATTAGCCAATAATGTAAGTTGTTACTTATAGTGGGTAATTTCTGGACATGCAACCACTTATCAAGTTGCGGCTATGCAGGTTGGTAAAGCAGCTTTGCTGGATAATGTCATTGACCATGTCAAATATCTGCAAAATCAAGTGAAGGTAAATTTTAATCCTAGTGACTTCAATCATGTAGATGTCATTTTCTTACTTCAAATCTGGAAAAAAATTTAAAACAATTTTTTTTGAAGCGTTACACTTCATTTCCTTGGTGACCCTAATGGTTCACGCTTTTTTTATCGAAAGAACAATAGAAAGCTCCGTCAAAGATCCCAGAAAGGTCGTGTATGTTACCTCTGGAGGCTTAGATATGATATTCTCATTATAGTTCTGCATAATACTTGCTTCAGTCATATCAGTCTTTTACTTGTTGATTCACCTTGTTGATGTACAGCATTTTCTTATTTCTTTTGAATTGACTTGATTCTATACAAGCTTGCTATAAGGCCGAAAGATATTGCTGAAGTTCTAGCTTCAATAGTTTGTCGTGCCAAGTATAAATGTTATCAAGATTCTAAGCGTGATATCAGATGTCAAATTGCTTCTCATTATATCATTTTAACCTTTCTTACATGTCAAGAATTTTTGCTGATCCTAGAACTAGTATTACCCGCATTCCTCGATATTTTCTAAGCACACACATATTAATGTGTATTTACCATGCAGGATTTGTGTCAAAGCAGATTGGGGGGTGAACCAATTTCAAACTCTCTTATTTTCCTTGAGGTACTACAAATCACATCTTACACTGATTGCCACACATCTTGTTCAAATTTTGGAACTAATTTCATGAAGCAATCTACATTTTCATAATCTGGTTCTGACTTTGATACCTGATTCTTTCAGGGGCATGGACATTACGTTTTTCAGGCACAGATGCTCAATGGGCCTGTGGAACATACGATGGGAAAATTAATTGATTTTTATCCTTCAGCAGTCACTGAGCTGTTGCAAAGCAGAGGTCTTATAGCTATGCCAATGACTTTTGCAGAAGAATTACTTGAACCCATTGAGATGTTTGATGTGCAAGGTTAGCTTTTCAGTCCTCAGATTTATTACATTTTCTGCCACTTATTTTTTCACGGGACAGTTACTATTTCTATCCATGCAAAAAAAAAAAAAAAGTTGAGTCCTCTTATTTGATGTTATTTGTTCCTACCTGTAATCTCTTGTGTACATCTTGTGTTACTGAAGTTGTGCAAACTTGTTTCACGGGACAGTTACTATTTCTATCAATTTTGAAGTTTTCACATAAAGTATCCTCGAGTCAGTCACATGACTATGATGACACATAGAATAACAAAAGTTTTTGCTGCTCTTGCATGTTAGCTTATTATAATTATGTTACTTTGATATAGAGGTCCTGGTAATGAAACAATATGTTGCTAAACAATATTCGGAGTCTGCATTTATTTAATGCGCAGTCATATCCTCGTATGAAGGTATGAACGATTGTGGACAGTGTTCCTAATGTACATCATGTTAATTAGGGGATCCTTTTTGTTGAACTAAGAGGTTTAATGCTTTTAGGTAATTATTCTTTTAGGATTGCTCTTACATGTGGACCATGATCAGATATACCATCGGATATGAACTTTGATCATTACTCGATCAAAAGGCCAACAAAAATTTGTGGTCCTGAGCATTAGGCCAGATTATTGTTCATGGCTATCTAAGAATTGGTACTTGTTGTGAACATTAAATGGGACCACAACATGAGGGAAAACTGATAGTAATTGTTTCTTCACTAGCCTCTAATTAAGTTCCAATTATATGTTTGCTTTATATTTTGCCTTCTTATAGTTTGTACGTGAGTGTCGGAAGACTTGGCTATTTAATCATTATAACTTATATGAGCAATAAAAATTAACAGAAAAAAAGAAAATAAACGACGATGTGCCAATCTATTCACTCCATGAACAGAATGGTTACTATATAGCTCAGGTTTTTGGACACTAAAGTTCTTTCCATTGAGCTAAGTACTGAATAACTTGCTCAATGGTGTGAAGATATCTATAGCTATTATCCATATGGACGTTTAAATGGGACTTCCAATTGATATCTTTTTCGGTTTACATGCAGAAAAAGATGTGTTTTCTGTCCCAAGTGATCGGGCGAGTAAATTTGGTTTGCCGTGATTTGTGGGATATGCACACTTGATGTGAACCCAGTGGTTAGATTGCCAAAATGAATTGGATAGGTAATACGAGGTGTCTGGAATTATTATCTTTGAATATTTTGGTTGACAGTGAAATCATCGTGTTCCTTGTTATGGATCGACTGTTGTTTTGGACAAACTCGAGTCTCAGACGGTTAACACCAAACGTTAATGACCTTGCTCTATGCTGATCTTATTATTACCATTTAATTTTTACCACGAGGTTATCTATAGGAGCACACATTTTATCTTCTTTGTAATTCAACTTGTCTTCATTTATGAACGTGATTTAAGCTATTTTTGTGGAGGCATTAAAAACAATGGTGATTAGAGTTCTGGATATGGTATTGTGTGACTATGGCATTCTAAAGTTCCTATTATGATCAGACAAGTAATTTTTTATAATCTTGTCCACAAATTTGGGAGTCTGTTTTATTTTTTCGTTACATTCTATTCTCACTCTTTATGTGCCCGAGTCTCAGACGAATTCTCTTATGCTTCATTGTATTCAACTTTTTATTTTTCTGCTCGAGTCTTATGTGAATATCGTGTGTACATGATGATGCCGTTTTTTTGATCGGGTGTAGTGTATGTGGCTCTCTTCGGTTTCCAGTGGCACTGTGAGGATAATATTTTCCAGTTAGAACATTTATCAACTTTAAGGTTGATAACAAAAAGTTTCTTTGTTCATCTTGTCCTTTTCTTACCTCTTACACATTTGTAGAAAAGAGTTGTAATAAAAACATCTAGTGTTTCTTTTCACAAACAATAACTATTATATAGCTAATTTGGAAAAATCAGTACACTACACATCCGTTTTGGAGTTAAACTAAATACAAAACACACAAAAGAGGTATACATCTAAAATCCAGGAAAAAAAACCCATCAAAACCTCATATAAAAAGCAACTCAGCTTAAAAAAGAAGATTGAAGTTTCAGCTAGGGCTATAACCTACTTCAACGGAACTTCTTAACACCCAAAAGACAAACTTTATCTTCTCTNGATTGATTAAAACTAACGAAATTTACAGAGTTCGACGGCTGACTAGCCAAATCCGACCGAAGTCAAATAGAGGAACACACACAGGTGCCCTAAACAATACTATCTAATAATGACTGTAGCTCAGCAGAAAGACAATGTCTGAAACCGAACTACTCACAAATGAACCATGCAGCAAACCTATAATAACAACAGAAAATCCTAAGACAGACTACATAATCATCAGAGCTAAGTACAACAAGGACAAAAACTAAAGATAACACTAGAATTTAATTGAGCCATTTTGATTTAGTCCATTACTAACACTATGCCAGGAGAATTGTCAACAATGACTCTTCCAGCTCCATTTGCAATGGACAGGACTTTTGTACCCCATCTAAAAAACAAAAAAAAAAGTGCAAATTTATTCTTTTTCATAGGACTGAGATTGCTATATCAAATTTTTACTCATTGAAATTGCTAAAAAAAGCCACCCTGTTAAGGAACCAATGTTGCACATAAGCCTTAATGTTTGTATCGAGTGTCCTGCCATGATTGTTTTGCTTAAGTTAGGGTCTGCACATTGTTGGAATAGGGCTTGTGGATTGTGTTTTGTTCAAGAATGTCTTATAGACATTGCATAAATTCTTGATCTTTCTATTCTGTTTAAGAGGGATGCTAGTGGAAATTTGTATCAAATATTTTGTTGCCTCTGATTGAAGTGACCTGTGTGGTCTGAGGCACATCCTTAGCACACACATAGTTGTTTTCTTCTTTTAGTACCTTCTCCTGCCTTCATATACCACATGGATCAATAGCTGATATTGGATTTGATGCTTTCACTTATTTCCCTTGGTCAATCATGTATTAAGAGAAAGTTGGTTTTAGCTTTATGGAACATTCCAGATAAAAGCTCTTTTGACTCTCCTCAATTGCTCAGAGACCAATTCTGAGAGCTTTCTTTTAGCATTAACACCTTCATTTCCAATTTGTTGTGCTCTGGAACTTCTATTATTCCCCTTTTTCGTACATGGTTAAAAATTCTCCAATCTTGGCATCAGTGTTCATCATCTCTTACTGTTGAACTTAAATTGTGGGCATATAAGCTGTACAGGAGTGATTTAAGTTTTTATTTTCCAGTGAACGCATTTAATCATCCACTGCTTTTTACATTGATGGTTATACATCAGATTGGAAGTCCTGATTTTCCTTACTTACTGCTGGGTGCATTTGAATATAGGTCCTGAAATGGGAGAATGTGGACCCCCATGATTTTTTTTTTTTACCTCGCCCTTACATTGCTCTTCGTAGAAATAATCACCTTTCCCAGTCATTTTTAGACTGAATCAAATCTGAAAAGGAAAGTTTCTAATTTTCAAAATCTGCCAAATCTATAGATACTCCAGACCTCAGGGGTAGTTTTTGCGAACTGTTAATTTTTATGTGATTTCACTTATAAGCTAAAAGGTGCTGCAATTTTCTCTCATCTTTTAATAAGCAAATCGTGTGGTTAGGGATCACTGGAATGATTGAAGCTCCGCGGATACTAAAATGACTGGCTCTGTCGTGCTCATACCCCGATGGATGCTAAAATGTGTGTGTGGGTGTGTGTGTGTGTGTGTGTGTTTTCGGGGAAGACTGATGTAAAGGTCCATGTGGAAATAAGGGGATTATTGACAAGTTTTAGAAGTGTTTTGAGTGTCCTTTTTTTCTCTGTGTTGGATTAATAGTGTTGTGTTTTGGCTCGAATTTTATGCTTTTACAATGTAGGGTTGTTGTTCATTGTGTTTCACTAGTTTCACTGCTTTTGTTGTTTTCCAGTATATAAACTTTCATTAAATGAAGTAAATTTCCTCACCAAAGAGAGGAGGAAAGTGCAAAAAAAAAAAAGAAAAAAAGAAAAAAAATGGCATATTAAACGTAAAGATAAAAGAACTCAATTATGAAAAGTTTAAATTCAATTATCATCATTGTTCATTTTACCCTTTACATTTCCAGGTAAAATGAAAATAACTAGACAGCTTGGTCCCTGAATATACAAATAAATATGCTATTTGGAAAATCATGTAATATTCAAGGACCAAGGTCCAAAATTTCTTGGGCTTAATTATATATATCTTGTTTTTCCTTTTATCATATATTTGTGTTTATCCTAAGCTAAAATATACAGTAAAAACCATTTTTCTCAAACGAGCCACTATTCTTTTTCATGCCTTTGTTTTTATTAATTTATATGTTAATAAATATTGAATGTCTTGCATATTTGTGTTTATATAAACACAGCACTTGGATGAAGGGTATATCTGTCCTTTATCTGTGGAGGGGACCATCTCCAGCTACGTTCTCTCTCAGCATAAATTTATTGCTATTCTTGATTTTTTAATTGGTATATTTGATTATAATTGCTTGTTTCTAATTGTTTTATTCACTTTTTCTTTTTTTTTTTTAATTTTTCTTGTCTTAATGGAATAATGTATGAAAGGCATGAATTTATTTGCTATTCTTGATTTTTGAATATTGTATGAGATACAAGAGCTTGATTAAGATTTAATATTGTATTAAGATTTATATAGGAGTTGAATAGATCATTGACCAAGAAAGTCTTTTCTAATTTCCACAATACTTGGAGGAATAGCATATCCAAGAGAATAAAACCAAGCATTCACATTTTACGTGAGGACGAATCATATGATGTTGTTCACGTGAGAACAAGGAAGTATTAGGGGTGAAATTCTTACGACCTCTATTTTGTAAACCTCGGAAATATTAGAGGTGAAATTTTTCGTAGCTACGACCTCTATTTTGTAAACCTAATCATAATATTGTAACAATATTACATACGTAAACTTAATCCTAATAATAACAAATTGTATTCGTGGGGATGAGCGAATTTATTTAAAAAATATTTAATTAGATTTCTACTCTTACTATAAATTACAATTTTATTTAATATGTCAACTTTTTATATTCAAAACAAATACAAGTTACTGTCTTATTAATATCAACCTAAAATGGTTAGAATTTAAAATATCGAAGAGTATACACGCATTTTCTCCACAAGTATAAAATATACTTATAAAACATATAGAAAAAAATCATAAACATTGTGCATTCATTAAAAATATGTCTTCTTCCTTTCTAGATAGAATCTTTGTAAATATACTAAATATTTGCATTATTATATTTATAATACTATGTAAATTAATTTTTAATTATATATTTGTTATCTATTAGAGAGGGGTTTAAATTTAAGTATTTTTAGATGTTTTTCTTACAAATAGATATAGAGTTTAAGTTTGTATTTTCAGATATTTTTTAAAGAATAATATAAAATATTTTAGATATACATACGGTAAATGATAATAAAAAACGCAACATTAAATAGTCTTTCATTTTCGTACTTAATGTTAGTTAGATATAAAATCACATTTTATTTGTTATATAATATTACATTTTGCATTAATATTGATTTTTATTTGTAAAATTGATAAATCACGAATGCATGGAATTGCCTTCGTTTTATGGTAACAACTTAAAAAACTAATTTTATGAAATATTTTGTACTCAAGTTTTCACACAGAAGTGACTCATAATTTTGGTATCATTTCAATATTTATTTCATATATACTATGTAAATATTCTCTCAATTTTAATATTTTAAACATACATTTTTTATGTTCGTTTATATAAGATAATATATTTTAAACATATATTTTACATTGTTCATGTTCTTTTATACAAGATAATTTTATATGGTTTACAATAAACTATACTCCCTCTGTTTCTTAATACATGTCGTTGTAGGATGTCAATATTTTTGCAAATTAGTTGCCGTTGAAAATATTTTATTCATTCTTTCAACTTTATCCTCTTTAACAAACTTTATTTCTTATCATTATCTTTAAAAATCAACCATTAATAATTCAAACACTAAATTTATGAGGATTAATATATAAGATTATTACACATCCCATGAAAATCGTAATTTAGAAGTTTTAAATTAAAACGACATCTAAAAAAAAACAGAGGGAGTACATCATAAGTTATATGACATGTAATTTTATATGGTTTACACTAAACTATATATGATAAGTTATATCACATGTAACCCACATCTTTAATTTATAATTATTATTTAATATTACTTACCCACATCTTAATTTTAATTTATAATTATTATTTAATATTACTTACTTGTGCATCGCACGGGCTACACATTAATAGAAACAATAGAGAATATTTAGAGAATACTTGGTACAAAATCTAACATCACATGTTTGTTGGAGATGATATTAAAGTTCGGTACATAGAGTTACTATTTTGGTGCAAATACGACACCGAAATAGTGCAAACATTTGGAGATATCACGTTTCCATTCAAATGATTGTTTACAAATTTGCGAGCTTTTTAATGTAGCTCATCTCACTAAACATTTGTGGAAAATCTTTGCAAATGCAAACTGTTTGAGTAGAATGATTTCAGCAACGTATATTCAGAATGGAAGATATGAGAAGAAGTACAATATATTAACTCCTGGTTTGGAAAAGTTTTGGTACCAGAAATTAATTTGGAGTGTTAAATTTGCTTCTTTATTTTTGCAATATGTTGAAAGTCTAAAAAGTTTTCCTTTAAGTTGAGTTGCTTTTTAGATGTGGTTTTGATCGGATTTTTTTTTTCCCTGGTTTTTAGTTATATAGCTCTTTTGTGTCCTTGTTGTGATGTGTTCTCTTGGGCCTTGTTTACTTGAAAAGATGAGATCGGATAGGATAAGATGGTTTAATCACATTAGTTAGCTTTTGTCTCATAAGTCAGTTTTACGAAATTTGTAATTATTTGGACATTAAAGGTATAATGAACATTATACATGTATTTTTTTGGACAAAAATATCATTTTTGTGTTGAGATTACATTATCCCACCATAAAGATGTGATATAATTATCATGTCAGTCATGGGTACATGCGTGTGCCCACCTGCCACATAGATGACACATAGGATTTATCCGATTCCTATTCCTGCTAGTAATCACTTAATAAAGTTGGTTAAGAAATGTTATTTAATCCTATTCTGGTAATTAAACGGGCGTTGCTGCATTGAGAAATGAAAGTTCATCATTTGAGAAAAAAAAAAACTAAAATGTTTTTTTAAAGGTCAATTGAAAAGTAGGTAAGTGAGCACTATTCTAGTTTTTGTTGTAGCTGTAGGTATGTGTTATAC